GGTCTCTCCTATAGATGAAAAAAGGAAAATCATTATTATTACTTATCTATGTGTTTTTTAATGTGTTTAAGTTTCTAGCACACTTTTTCTGATCATATGAGTATTTTTGGTCCTTGTTCGCTCCAGATTCACAGAGTTCCCATTTACACTCTTTAGATAAGGTATTTTTTACATCAGTCATATTTATGACAAGTGTATTTGTTGGGTAGTGTTTTGCCATGAAACACTCCACCACAGACTTCTTTGAAAGTCTTTACCTTCTTTAAAGAGACTGTAAGTTGGACAAAGTTTAATAAACAGAAGAGAATATTTCATTGGGTAGAGGTTGATTTATTTCATATTAATGTTACAACGAGTAATAACTACGCTATAGTCAAAACAATACAATTTTGATTTGACATAAAATCCTCCAAACTAATGGATTTTACATGCAATAATCATGTACGCACATTTACATAGTTAAAACTGAATTTTCTAACATAGATATTACAAATACAGCCCTGGATTGTAACTGAACAGCTTGCCAAACCAAGTTTTTAAATGATCAGGAAGAAGCAAGACTTGAGTGGAAAACCCAGAGTTAACCAGTAAGAGCAGGCTGAGCAGTAACAAAGCATCACTGTACTGAACTGCGAGACAAGGTACACCTTTCAAGGTACAGAAAGCTGCACAAACCACTGGAGCCAAAACTCTAAAAATCCCACAGATGTCCAATTGCTGTTATAAATTTATGAAGAATCAAACAGGAGAACTAAGAAAACTTGTGTGCCTTTATTTTTTTAAGCACTATAATAAAGTTTTACTTGTTGTAACAACCTACACACTTTTAACCTGCATACAATATCCATGTATTTTTTATTCCATCATGAAAAGAATTATATGTAAATCACAACAAATAAGAAATTCACACAAAACAAGATACAAGATAATACTGCAACACAACATAGTATATGTGCACTGTCATGTCTACCTTTGGAGCAAATGCTACATATTATTACTTCGAAAGAGTCCAGTTTTCTCTTTTAAATAATTATGGAGAAGAAAACCTACCTACTGATGAATGAGTTGTTTGCTTTATGTCTCTGACGCCATCTGAGCCAAAGCAACTCCAGCAGACGGGATCGGATCTGAGAGGAAAGATTTGAAAAAGGGACCCCCAATATAAAGGAGGTGAGTGATGAAGACTGGCCCTGCTAACACCTCCTACACCTTCCTATTACAAACACACCTCCACCACGCCTACTGGTCCCTCAACGCCTGACCACGGGGAAAAATATTTGTGCAGGAGTTACAAAAAAACAGAAACTTTTGCACTCACTCAAACCTTAAATGTACCACTTTCATTTTCTGTGAAAATTATCATTATTTCATTTAACATGTATTCCTGACGTCTACTCTAATGAAAAGCAAAATTATCTACTAATATATGTATATATAACTATATTATTAATTTCTTGTACATCATGTTTTAGTTGCTAAAAAAGCTGAAAAACACTGCAAAGCTACGCATACAGTTTGATTTGAACATGTTCTGCAAGTGTCTTGACTTATTTCAGCTGCAGCTGCCATCTGCACACTGTAAATCCATGATTCAGCTGGAATACAAAGCCCAACACTGTAAGTATCCAGCACTGACTCCAGGATACAGAAACCCCCCAGATATATGAATCGGCTGTTTGTTGAAGGTAATGAGATGTAACTGTGCGCGAGTTATGCTAGCAACCGACCATCCTCAGGATGTTAGGAATCCTCTGTGTCGGCATTACATCTCTAACCCAATGGCCACCCACCATCCCACCTTTTGTAAACCACATGAAGAAAACGATATAAAAGGCTTAGAGCAAACAGGGAGTATGTGACGCTCTTGCACGTTAGCAGGAGGTCAGAAACAGCAGCTGAGATCGTCACAGCCTTTTATTGTATTAAGTGCGGCACTTTCACCATGACATTGACATCGATATTTTATGTATTCATATTCTATACGTAGAATCACCACATAGACACAAAGTGAGTGGGGGCTGCTGTCTAACTTTAAGACATTTCTAAGAAATGTAACAAAATCATTCAAATACAGTGGCGAGGGAGGCCGGGTGATGACTCAAGTTTATCTTACCAGTACAAACGATAAGTAGGACAGAAAATGAGGTACAGAAATGATCCAGAAGTGTAAGATCCATTACTCCTTTTCAAAATGCCAAATGGTTATTTCTGATGCATAGCAGGTTTTTTCTCTCATATTACAAATGCAAATATATAAGAAGGTTCCTAAACCCTATTCTGACTGACAGGACCCTTTTCAGATAAAACTACATTTGAGCTTCTGGACAGGAAACACTGCATACAGGAACAAACAAGGGATGAACATGTGGAAAAGCACCACGTGGTCACTCATTTTCAGAAGCTACCAATAAGTGTGGAGGGTGCTGTAGATTGATCTGCTTTGAAATAATGTTAACACATTAAGAAGAAACTAAATTCTTCAGTATGGGGTTTTTTACACTGTCATTCTTTTAGTTTTGTTCTCCTTTACATTACTAATTCTATAAAAAATAAAAAAAGACACTTTTTAAAAAAAAAATCTCCGGTCATGATTACAGTATTAAAGAAGAACACTTTATACCTAAGTCTACTGATTCATCTGTTACTCTCCATATGGAATTGCTCTTTGTTGTGGTTTCTTGGTGGTATTTTTGTATTTCTGTGCAAAAAAAAACAAAAAAAAAAAAACAGAAATATGTACTCTTCTTAATGCAAGTAATAACACTGAAAATGTGCATCCTTATCAGTAAATGGCCAAACCCTAATAGGACATTAAAAGAGATTTTTACTGAAAAGACTCAAAGTCAACTGGATTTGTTTTCCTTATGACTTAAACAGATGTGAATTTAAAATATATGTTTTTAAGGCTTTGGCAAAACATATCCAACCTCCAAGCACAAGCACAATCTTATGCAATAAATAGATTTTTGGTGACATTTCTGCAAACAAATTGCTGATAACAGCCTCCAATGAAAAGAAAAAATGAACTCCAGAGTAGGTGGTCCATTTCTGTTAGATGGCAGCCTACAAAAACATCTCCAACCTTATACCTCTCTGCATCATGGACCACCATCAAGCTGCTGACCGTGACCTGGCCTTTTGAGCCTCACTTCAACACCTACCAGGACTTGCACACCTGAGAAAATGCACCTGGTTATGTAAACCTCTAGATGTTGTCTGAGGGAAATTTGTGAGATCAGCATCTTTATCAAAACTGCGTTCATTTAATTTAGGTTTCATTGAAATAGCCAACCTAAAGACATCTTTCACAAATTTTCCTCTGCTGCAGCCTACTCATGAATCAGTCAAATAGAAAGTTGAAATCCTTCAAAAAGAAAAAAAAATTGCATTTGCTTTTTCAGTCTTTACTATTTCAACCAAGGGACATAAGTGTACTCTTCTCACTGTTGATAATACATTGATTATTCCGAGAAGTCTTTGGCAAAAAGCTCCTTTTCTCGAATCATGATGTTGGCTGCTGACAGTAACCAAAAGTATATGGGAAATCTGCATATTTATTTACCCTTTCTTCATCTGACTTTAATGAAATGTCTAATAGTGAGGCTGGAACAGTGTGGCCATTGAACAGGCTATGATTGAAGTGACGGTCAGTCCCCCCGTGTTGCTTACATTGGACCTGCTCCTTGAGATTAGAATAATATAGGCACATAAGCCTTTGCTTGTTCACAGCCTCCTTACCGACGGCCTCCCCGCTCCTGTTCGCTCTGAATTATGTAATTGCACTGAGAACCTTCTGCATCACGTCTCCTGCTGGACCACATTCGAGAAGAGACATAAACTCTCTCTTAAGGGGAATTTTGGTCGTTATGAGGGGTATGATTGATCCGAACCCTGGCCGACCAATAAGAGTGACTGAATAGACCTGAAAAGAAAAAAAAAGAAAAACCCAAACCACTCCTTCCCACCTCCTTTTCCCTCTGGTTGCAGATGTCAAGCAGGAAGAGGAGGGCGAATTGAGCACAGAGAAACCTCTCAGATCCTTAGCTGCCCGTAAAAGCAAAAGATAACATAAAACATGAGTGTCTTTCACAGGACGGCTAAGATAAACCCAGCTGAATCGTGTTTCTGGGAGAAAGGTGGGAAAACAAATAATATTGCATTTTCATTCTAAGTGTAAATGCAATATTATTCAGCAACAGGAACAATTTAAAAAGCTCATGTGAACTTTTCATAAGTGATTTAACCAAATTTAACAGAAAGTGCAGCTTTGGAAGTGTAATGTAATCTCAAAGTTTCTTTATTCCAAATATCTTCATGATTTAGTGAAGCCACTCATTGTTATGACCTGCTGCAAATGTAATAAATATGATCCTATCATTTCCCATGGTCTATGTTCAGCACTTCTGAACATTAGACGCATAATCTGTGTTAAATACACCAATTAATGCCCTGATTTAACTAATCTCTACTGATGTGAATTCCCCTTTAGCCTAATCCTTATTGACAGAGGCCTCCATATCATCAATATCCTTTGGTTTGCATGCTGCAATCTCCTTTTACAGTTTGTAGTGGAGAGTTTCGCTAGAGTTCAAGTCAGGCCACAATTATGGCCACCTTAGCACCATGGAGCCCAGAAATATTCAAAACAATTGCAGATTTCATCTTAAAACCTTCGTTAAATTTAACCAGCAGGCTTGTTCAGACTGAAATTAATGTCAATGTTTTGGAGTGCAGATTCTTCATTCTTCAGCTTCACCGAGTTCTTTTGAAAACCACTGTGGGCTTTTGTCCATCTGGCTCTTTAATCTGGTGACAGTTCTTGATTACTTCCTCTTGCTGCCAATTTCAGCCAGCAAAGATTCTGTACTTTTGATTTTAAACTTGTGAACTTGACCAGGACCTTTTCTGTCGTCTTTAAAACATTTTGGACAGTTCTCTTGAATAATTTAAAGTCTTAGTAAGTTTTGGAATGCACAAGCAATGCCAAACACATTTTTTTCCCCAACAAGAAGTCATGTTTATTTCAGCTACATATCATGTAACTCCAACATGAGGAAATAAAAACAATGCATTAACTGGAAAAAATAAAGTGGCGCTCTAGCAAGTAATTTATTTTCAGTGTGATTATTACTTTTATATATTTTTTATGTTACAGAAGGTAATTTATCCATCAGTTGTAATGTGTAAATTGCAGTAAAGGTTAACAGATTCATGAGTCACATTTACTGTCTGCAGCCATCGGTTTTGTACTCGTCAATAAATTCGTTGAACTCATTACAAGTACGTATGTTTGCGGATTTTTTGCAGTCGGTATCTAGCGGTTTCTTTTCCACCCAGGTGTTTGATTCCAACAGATACTGCATGCTACGAAGACAGAAAAAAAAACAGTGTCAGTGTATTTAAAACTGTATTTTTATCAATACAACTTATGTTACTTACTTTCCAGTTAAGTCTTTAGTGGAACCATCTTTGCCCATAATCAGATACTGTCTTCCTAATTCTAGCTGCCCTTTGCACTGAAGCCTTTTGGCAAACACCCGAACACTGTTGACTGTCACACGCAGGTCTCCATCTGGTAAACAAAAAAAATTATATTTCTAACCATAAAAAAGCCCAAAAAGAATTTAAAAACCTCTATTTCTTGCTCCCTTGGTTGCTTTGGTTGGTCACTTACGATATTTGAGGACGTCGACGACTTTAGTGCTGTACAGCTCAAAGTTGCTCTTAACAGAAATATCCTGGACTTCTAAAATGTAAGCTGGTATAAAGACACACAAATACAAATCTGAATAGTCTGTTATGGATAATAGATTTTTTTATTAAACATACCTATCACGGTTTTATTTGAAGTAGCACATGATTTAATATTAGATGTTTTTTTATTTATTGGATTGTGTCCCTCAATAGATATAAAAAAATGATAAAAATGCAGCAAATCCTCAGAGTTATTTGCCAACAATATCCTTGCAGAATAGTAAACTCTTGTAGCGACTACTTACCATAATCCACTCGGGGGGAGAAGCATGCATATTCAAAACGAGTATTCTTCCTTATGTTTTTGAATCGGTTAGATTTGAAGGTCTCTTGTACTTTATGACAGGGTCCTAAAGAAAGCACACAATGACATTTGCAATCCACAAGTGAAACATGCTTATCAGACGTAACATAGGTCCAAATGTCTTTTTCTTAAATTCTAGGATACATACATGTACTTTCTTCATGGAGCAAAACAGAAAAACAGGCAAAATGTGGTGCTAAAAACCTGTCACAGATGCACAAAAAGTGCTTGTGGACTTAAAGAGTCAGTATATGTGCTGCCTGATCATTTTTATTTCATGTTGGTTGACCAGAAATTATAGTGAAAGTCCAGGCGACAGTGTCCAGTTAAACCAATTAGACAGAGGAACTCCTTCATTCCAGCACTCTTTATACCCACATAAACATAACAATCACCAGGTCTGATTTTAAGATGCCTTTTTTCATATCAGTTTCATATCAGAAGTGATTATGATTCTGCAATTTACGTTTAGGTGCTGAAATAATTTTTTGTTAATAAAAAATGGTAAAAACTGAGGATTGAAAATAGTGATAATTCATTTTCACATTATTTTAGAAAAAAATGAAAAAGGGATTTTATGCATTTCTAATTATTCCTGCTGATGCCAGTGATCTATGCATCCAATGGCATCAAATGTGTGAATAAAGAAAATCTGCATGTATGTAAGATAATCTGTGTTAATGGAGGCTGTTCTGTGAAAGCCTCAGAGGACATTGGAGGACAGTAGCAAATAAAACAGACTCATAAAGGCTGAGGAACACAGCAGACAGGTCAAAGAGAAAGTTGTGGAAAGATTTAAAGCAGGTTTAGGCTATTAAACAATATCCCAAGCCCAAAAAGAGTTGGATCTCCACCCAAACCTGAGGGGCCAGAGCAGCAAAAACATATCAAAGTGATCCTTCTATTACACAGTTGTGTGGTACTGCATGTTGGTCAATTACATGTAAATTCAATTAAATAATGGTTGTGTTTGTATAACATGGAAAAGGTGAATCAGTATGAATATGGTTAGATACTGCATGTGTTCATATTTTTGAAGTGAGTGCCTACTTTCTGCACACTGGCAAACATCCTCTGAGCACAACGTGGAGACCAACTTGCTTCTTCGTGAAGGCGAGTAGAACACGGTGCACTTTATATCTGCAAAGAAAAAAAAAATAAATTCAACATGGGTGACATTAAGAGATTATGTAAAATAGAAAAGGATATACTACCAGGTTCATAGTAATCATAGAAGACAGCTGGGGCAGGCTGCAAAAGGCCAATTGGCACCATCTGATTAGCAGAAAAGCTCACACATTCCCTGGTTTCATACAGCTGGAGACAAAGAGAAAACCCATGTTACTACTGGACATCCGAAATACCCTGATTTTAACTTGATTTTAACCGTACCTTATTGAAGTACATCAGCAATCTTCCAGATGACAGCTCATAATGACTAATGTATTGCTCTGGGGGCTTTTTAAGCTGAGATGGAAACAAAAAAAATCAACTCTCAGAAAATAGAACATTTATTAGGGGTAACTACTGGATTGATTTTTTTGGTCTCTGCAATAAATAAGAACTTAAATACATGTGAACAATAAATAATTTGACAATAGGATTCTATGAGGCAGTAACTGGTTTCAACTTTATTAAATTGAATACACAATTTGATATTTATCTGTAAAATCTTGTGTTTGAGTTTATAATAAAAAAAATAAATAAAAATAGGGGGAATTTGAACTGCAGATTAACCAAGTCACTGGTTTCCAATGTCTCCTAATTACTAAAATGTATTGAAAGTTAATAAAGAATCTCAGGTAGTTTTGTCCTTATTGTTTTTCAAAATATTTATCATCCTGCAGATGTGTATAGTTCACATTTTACATTTACAGTTAGAGGTTTACATCCCTTGAAGAAAGACTGGAGCAACATTTCTGGAAACAATTACTTAAGACATGTGTATGAAATTATTCTTTACACTGTTAAATGAGCGTTGAAAAGGAAATAGAACAACAAACCGTGTCCAGGTCTTCAATTTTCACTTCAAATCCACTAAGTAATGTGATGTCTGCAATGCCCATTCCAGTCATAGGGCTGTTTGGGTTATAACTAGGAGGAGAAAAACAATAATAATAAAAAAAAAATCTTCAAATTTTCTGTGTTTGTTCTGAGAAAACATATTTGACATATTTGCTGGGATTTCAGCCTAGAATTTTCTTGCTTAAATGCAACAATGCGACCAACTGGACCACTGTGCCTGGCCAAAATATTATCCAATGTGCAAATCAGCTGAAGACAAAAAAAATACAGCGGTATGTTTCACATTTGATGCAAAACCAGACTAATAATCCTAGAGACTCTTGTGAAATTATTTTGTGAATTAAGCAGCATAGTCAAAGTCCAGATTTAAATCCGTTTAGATATTTTAGAATGTACCGTAAAGAGGCTGTTTCTGTTTGAAACGCTGTCTGGCCTAAAAAGAAAAAAAGCACAAAAACTTGGCTCAAATGTCCTTCATGTCGATGTAAAAGACTCATGGCAGTAGTTGCAAAGGGATAATTGCTGTTGTTGCAGCCAAGGGTTTGGGTGGGAATTACTTTGATATTGATGCTAGTTTAAATAGCTTTTTCCCGCTGGTGAACTAAATCATCATTTGAAAACGGCTTTTTGTATTTACTTGGGATATCTTTTTTCTGAAAATGCTTGATGATCTGCAAAAATAGAAATCTGTAAAAATACTTTTCACAGTACCGTGTCTACAGTGGATGATCAACTAACCTGACACAGACAGTGTAAGTAACAATGCTGTCTGAATTTACATCATTTTCAAGGTCTCTTCTGCTTCGTGTGAGAGCGTCAAACCGGTCGATCGCTGATCGTGCTTCTCTGGTCTGCTTTCCCTCAGTAGCATCAAAGTCGTCGTAGTAGTCATAATTTTCTATGATCTTTTCTGCAAATACAGAGATATTGGTAAGCATAAAGTGTTATTGTTTTCTGTTAAAAGTATTGTTAAAAGGCTTACCAGTGTATTTGACTTTTCCCTCCACTTTAACACTGATATTAAGTTTGGAACAATCCTCCTCTGAGTCCAAGAGATGGTAAGCCTTCACAGTCTGTAAAATAGATTTTCTGTAAATTACAGATATCATCCTGAAATACAGAAAAAGGAAATGAAAGCCGCTCACTTTCAGCTTGATATTTCCTTGTCCTCTCAACTCTATTGTAATGTTTTTCCCACTAAGTTTCTGAAAAAAAAAAAAATTACTTGAGAAAGACATGTTCATTTGTCATTACTCTAAGAAGAAATGCTCTTTAATACCTGCAGGTCTGTTTCCACTCTTTCTTTTCCTTCTTTCAGTTCAAGCCTAAGAATGTCATTTTTTCCTGGGACTGTGAACTCTGCTGTTACGTCTACGATAGAACCAGTAGTCTTTGATAGTTCATATTCTGACAAGGCCTCCAGCGCCATGTTGGTGTCCTGGCCAGAGAGAAAACCAGCTAAGTTATCTTTAACTTGTCCTGCTTTTTCTGACCATTACTCAATGGATAATAACAAAAAATGCATCCTAGAAACTATCTCCAAGAAAAGAGGACTATTACCTGAGTTGACCGGTAGCCCCCTTTATAGTTTTCTTGGCGGAGTAACCAGCAGGCTGTTAGGTTTGCCCAGTGAGTGTTGTTATTTTTCACTGCAGCTAGAAGAGCGTAGGCTGTTGTCTCAATTGTGATGGCCTTCTGTCTTTCTGAATCGGTGCTATTTGTCCACATATAGC